GGACATCCAAGCAGGCAACAGGTCGTATCTCAACCTTGACTCTGGTAGCTCAAAATGTGTATGTGTTAGCTGGGTCACTCGGGGTGAGGGGATGAAACTCTGGATATGGCAAAGCCTCCATTGCTTTACTGTATTATACATGTTGCAGATCTAGACTGAAAATAAGTTCTTGGCCTACAGCCTAGAGATTCTAAGGAAACTCTGGGCATGATTTTTAAATAGGAGGGGCATTTGTGGATGCTAACAACAAAACCTGCAATCAAAATAACTTTTGGCAGTAGGAAACTTTAGAAGTGTGCTTTGAAATTCCTGAAAGTACTGCAAACCACCGGGGGAAGGGGAGAGGGGGCAGGGGGAGAGAGAGAGTTTCTAAAATCAACCAAGAGCATAAATCTTAGCAAGGACTGATCTGTAAAAGAGGTTGCAAATTAACCTTGACAAGCGACCATTAAAAGATTGGCTGCTTTTCCTGCTGTCCCAAAAGTGTATGGTGAAGGCAAGGATTATTGTTCTAATAATTTGCTCTTCCCTCCATCATGTGTTTGACCGTGTGAGGCATACAACAGAATCTATTCAAAGATACAGAGGGAGCCTGGCACAATCCAAAGAACGGTGTGCCATCTGAAAACACATGGGGCAGAAACGTTGTCTTGAAAGCATCCCAACATCAAATCTTCCCTGCAGGTGGAAGATTTATCCACCAAAAGTGATACTTGCCTCATCTTCGGCTTTTCTCAAGCACCTTTGGTTTCTTGCTAGAGTTTCACGTGTGGGGATGCCATGTGATATCACCACGGGGCATCTCAAAGCGTTTCTATAAAGCTGATCCCCATGAGGCTTTCTTTTAGTTGGAAAAAAACCCGCTGACCTCTTAAGCGTAGAGAGCAGAGAGAGCTAGGTTGTAATGCAAGGGAAAGCATTCACTAGGGAAAATCCACAAGTGAGAAAAGGAGTGATCCTTTCCAACACATCTTCGTGGAAGACCTGATGGGAAATTCACAGAAGGAACTAGCCAAGCTCAGAGGGCCTACTTGCCTTCTTAGGCCCTCTGGCCTTGCGTATCCCTTCTCACCTCAATGCACCCACATTTCTCCTGCAGCCAATTCTGGTGCCAAAACCTGTAATTCTCCCCTTAAAAATACTTCCTCTCCATGATGTTTCTTTTCAGCAGTGCTCCACAAGTTACATTTCTTTAAAAGCTGCACATGGGAACTTGCTATTATCAAACTTCAAAAGCAAACCAAAAATGTCACCAAGATAAGTTTCCAATCACACACCTGATTCAGAGAGCGCATGTGCCAGGAAGCCCAAGCCAGCTGTGGTATCCCTGTCATGTGCGCTGCACACCAAGCACAATTTTCAACTCAGCACTTTCTGCACATGTGGAACTGCACTTGGGAAGCCATGCTCACTTATGTGCAAAGAAACTAGTTAGCTGGAACCAATTCACAGACATGTTCCTATCACTTACTATTCAGTATTTTATACCTTTTCAGAGAAATGTGAACTGCCTCCATCTGAAATTCTTCCATTTATTTCAATTCCAGTTGAAATCAACATTCATTCACAAAATCATCAATTGAAGCATATGTGCGTGGATGATGCAGGCCTTGCTTTTCAGAAAAACGCAGCTAGATCATCAGTTTCCTCCCAGTTTGTTTTAATCAGACAGTCCATGGCTTTGATCTTCCATACCACTGTCTTCCACTCCCAATGATTTATTTTGACTTATCTGATGCCTTTGACAACAGCCTCCTGTTCCCAGCATGGCTGACCATCCCAGGACCAGAGAGCAAGTAGCTTGGTTTGCTGCTGTTGATAACAAGCTCCCGTTCCAGCAGAAGTCAGATAAGCAATAAATAAACCCAAGTGACAATTAAAGGTAAGGCTGAATTGCAGTTCATGCAGATTTCCCTAACACTATGTAGAATTACTTCAAAGCACTGTGAATAAAATGGCCATCTCACCCACCCCACCATATATTTCTCCTTTTCCTAACTGCTTGTTTGATGGGCCGCTTGTAAATATGCACAGAACTGTCCTGGATATCCCACAATTTTCAATAGGGATTACTTCCTAATAAATGTAATTAGGACTGCAGGCTTAATTTTAAAACATTTCCAGATTGCCCCTCTATTTAAAAAGGATGTTTAAAACAATGTTATGATTATTTCAGAATACCATCATGTGGGGCCATTTTCAAGAGAATTTTCCAAGTTCCCTACAAGATTCTCAAGTTGTCTTCTGGGCAGCCCAACAAGGGGACTATGACATTTCCTGGATGTATGCTCATGAACTGTCAGATGATCTGTCAGATGAGATCTTATTCTCAGATGCCATGCAGAAATGCTGTAATTAGGAGTGAGACCGCCAATATCATTGTAACAAAACCTCACTAAAGTAAACCTGAATTCTAAGAATAACTTCACCACTTGCAAAATCCTTATATAGAAAATGTTAAAAAAAGGTTTTAAAAATCTGATATAATTAACTTTTATACAAAACTTCCTTCAATGAAGAATGAATTATTCAAATTCACTGTGAATTCTAGTATTTCTCCATTATCCCTTCAATAACATACTAGTACTGCTATTAGCATTTTTGCTGTCTCCCTCTGGCTGGGGACCTTTCCTCCAGGTATCAATGAACTACAACACCCTGGCTGGTAGTGTGGGAAGCTAAGAACTGTAGTTCAGCAACATCTGGAGATCCACAGGTTCCTAGCTTGTTGAAAACAGATGCAGAACTTGGAATTCAGGTGGTTCCAGCAAGTCTCAAGAATCTTTATAAACACCCATTCAGACACCACATTATTTCTAAATGTGTGGTGGCAGCTCGCAGGTAATTTGCAGAGGTTTGGAAAGCCGTTTCCCCACACCAACATGGCAGCATTTAATCAAGAAAATGCATGGGTGCAACCAAACCGTGGCTCCTTTACACACAAAGGCCGGTTGGCTCCCTGCACACAGAGAACTACGGCCGATAGCAATTGGCTCTGCTTATGTGGTTCTTGGGAAAAACACTCCCTGAATAACACAGGGAGTTGCTTCAGGTTGAGAACTTCCCTCTCTGCTCCAAATAATATTATGGAATGACCTTGGTATAATACTTCATGCTAATCAATGATATTTTCACGTAAAACATGTTCAGATATTATGCCAGAATAGAAAATAGGAACCTGTGCAGAGAACCTGTGCTGACTCTGTTCCAACACTTCCCACTCTTCATCTTACTGACCCTGATATATTGAGTCAGAAGTTCCAAAATGGGTATCTATTTGTATTTGTCCGAATGACAAATGGCAGGGGTTAGCCAACATTATTGCAACCCCTCCCCAAATAATAAATGAATATGTGTGGTCCTCTCCATGTATAAAACTAATGATTTCATTCAGGTTATGGCTGAACAAAAAATAAGTATATTGCTTAATTTTAATAATTACATTTTAATCTACATATCACAAGCTGTTTTCAAACATTTTGCAGGCATGGGCAGGCAAAACAAGGAGCAAAGTTGAGAGTAAGTTTTGACAATACTCCTGTTTTGCTAGTGCAGGCAGAACAGGAACACTGTAAAACGTGCTCCTGTTTTGCCTGGTCAACTTGCCACCAACTTGCACAAGCAAGGGGAGAGAAAGTCCAAAGCACCAAACTCTCTTTGTGCAAGTATACTCAGGTTTAGAAAAAAATGTGACTTTCCTTCTAAATTGGTACCAACCCAGTTTGAGAACTCCTGCCCTATGAGATTGGAGACACAGTTTTACCAGTCCTCCTGGTGAACATGAGTCAATATTCTCTTCAGATCTTATCCTTGAATGGGGTAAGGGCAAGAACATGGAGGAGCAAGGAGGGTGTTCAGCCTCCCATTCCCTGCACAGAATCAAGTTTTTCTTCAGTGCTTAACACATATTCACAACCTGAATGGAAAAGGGTGTATGTGGCACATACAGTGCATTCGGAAAGTATTCAGACTCCCTTCACTTTTTTCAATTTTGTTACGTTGCAGCCTGATACTACAATCTTTCAAATTCATTTTTTTTCTCATTAATCTACATTCAGTACCCCATAATGACAAAGTGAAAA